AAACTATTTATAAATTGTGATTCCAAGTTCGGAATCGAAATTCTTTTCTCTTTTCATGAAAGCTTCGCGAAAAGACATCATTGAGAAAATGAAAATCTAAAAATGATTTCTTTAGAGGATATAATAAGGAAGACAATCCAAAATGTAATTAATTTTTATACCCTATACCATTTAGATTAAATTTGTGCGCACGTATGCAACACCCAGAAGAACTTGGGATATAGTCATCTTTTATTACACCACATTTTGAGTCCATCTAAGCTTAGCTGTTGATCCGCCCGTCTGCACATTCAGTTCTATTTACAAGTTGTAAGTTTTGAAATATTTTCATGAATGTTATCCTATGTAGTACTTTTCCTACAATTTGAAGCATCGTTATACGAACAACTGTTTCAAGCACAGTGGTTTAGGGTATGTATTGGTAGCCAATATATTATTTTTACCTTTTTTGTCTGTCAAATTATTCACCGTCGCCTATTTCCTCATTAAATACCAAATATTGCTTCTTCTCGTTAAAGATTGATTTTTCTCTGGAATTCTTGTGGTGACGAAGATGCACACAAAATATACTAATGTCATCTAAATTTAACACAGTAAATTCATGTGTGAAATAATTATTCTTAATCCTACAAAACATTACAAATTAGACGTTGTAGCCAAGTGAAGACTTGTTTATGTTAGAAAGAGGGTTCAAAAAGTGGTATCACCGCCCAAAATTCAAATTTTACACATTAGCTTACTGTACAACGATATTATTTTCCATCGATTTTGAAAGTGTAAAATCGATCACGTATGAAAATAGAAGTCAAGATATATAAAAATAGATCAAACTACACCAACTACAGGTTTCTGATTGACACCTGTGCCATAATGCTTTCCAACGTAACATGCCCCTTTGCGTTTCCAAATTGCTATTCAGCTTCTTTTGAGATTGGATTGCGGCTTCTTAAGTCAATGTAGCCTTCGTTTACGAATCTTAGAAGATCTATTTGCAATGGTTAACTTACAGCAACTTACATTTACCAACTTTTTTATCGTCTTCTGATTTTGTCTCTTCGTATGTTACAATTAAACTTGACTTTTCTTTTCGTAAATAATTCACTAATACACTTTTTACAAGGAAGTTACCAATCCTAAACTTCGTTGTGACAATTTCGTGCAATGTTCTCTTTCCGCGAACTATTGTCAGCTTTTTCGCCAATCGCCAGCTGAACCCCACTGCATTTTATGACGCCGTCATATGAAGCATCATTAGTGGCTTTTCCATTTTAAAAATTTCGTTTCTCAAAAATTCGATGAGTTTTTCTGCGGATTCATTTTAATAAGTGCGCGAATTTCGTAAGAGGATAAAACGAATGAATTTGATTTTTTAATTTTAGCTGTTGTCGAAGAATACCACCAGCTAGCGAAACCTTTTTACCTTTGATATAAAGTTACATAATCAGTCTTCCTAAATATCAAAAATATAACCCATTGCAAGTACACTCTTTTGATAAAATACGCTTGGGTTACCCATTACTGCATTTGTCTTACGAAAATATTGAACGTAGATATAAAAAAAAAAAATGTTGTTTTTTGTTTCCCTTTTTTTTCTTGGTGGCTGTATTTGTCATGTTGCCAACATTTTACTTTAGTTGTTGACAGTTTCATTTTCAATATATTCCTTTAGATTTTTTCTTTTCTTTCGCAAATTCTTTTGTAGTAAATTTGATTGCAAGCAAACATTTGCTTTTAAATAAATCCTTTTTCCACGCACACATACACACACACACACACCTATATAGGTTTTCTCGATAAAGCATTGTACATGTGTATGTGCATGCATGACAATCTCACTTTAAGCTTTATTTGTTCGTGCAGTGAAGCTGTACATGAGAGAGTGCACGCACGTATATTTTATATAAAGTTTTAAAGTGATCATACATATATTTAAGGTAACAATATGTGGTTGTGTATGTTTGCATATGGGTATCTGTGTGCGTACGGGTACGGTAAGTTTTTAACCTGTCAACTTGTGCACAGTATTGTTATCTTTTCTTGTTAAATTGCTTACCCACACATACAAAGTCTATATGCACAACATGCACCTTATCCGGTTTTTTGCTTTCTTATCTTCTTTTTTATGCTTCCAAAGAAGATAAAACTTTTCTCTGGAATTATTTACAATATTTGTTGTTAGATATTACACCAGCTTGTGTGCTCCTACGCTTATTCGTATATTATGAGTGTAATATTTAGTGTACCGGATTTACGATCAACGTTGTATTTATTTGCATGTATGGATAGATACGTGTATTTGGGATCACTATTTATTATTTCATGTATGTAAACGAAACGCAAATAAAAGTTATTTAAAACTATACTACTTTTTCTAGAATAAATTCATGTCTAGAGATGTTTCTTAAAAATTAAAGTGATGATAAAGTATATCCACATTTTTGAAACTTTACGGCAATTGTATTAGAAATTTAATACTAAGACATTATGTAGCATTTATTAGCAAATTACTGTAAGGTACTTTTGAAACGAACTAAATAAATTTAAAATTTTGAAAGGTAAAGATTTTTTTAAGGATTAATTGCAAAGATAAGTAAAACAGTTAAGTTTGTGAAAAACTCTCAATTCTTATAATGTCGACAAGCTATATTCATAATGGCGAAAAATTATCCGCCTTTTAAGTATAATTTCCTACATAATTTTCTTTCGTGCGGAAAAGAAAACTCATCTTTAAGATTAACCTCTAAAGAACCCGTACTTAGGTATCTTCATAAGATTGAAAGTATTCTTCGAACAAATAGTAGGCCATCTACTGAAACCCTCGTTAATCGGAGAGGTTGACGTGTGCTGGCAACGGCGGAGAAGGCGGAACAGGACGAGTCTAGAACTGCAAACATTTCTTGACGAGATGTTGCTATATGAAGGCACATTTTCTCAAAGTGAAAACTCACGATATCATGTCTCTTGGTCCGCCCTTTTGCATACGTACGCATCAGTTCTCGTTGGTACCGTTCGTGAGTGTTGATTGAGCCTTGGTTGAAATAAACTACAACAGATCACGCTCAGCTAGTAAATGTTACTGAGCTTCTTGCATCAAAGCACAGGATCTCCTATCCAAAATTATGAGCCAAAAGGGACCATAGACAGGGTAGGTTGGCAGGGTGGGTAGGCTCATCCGGTGGATGTAACTATCTACGGAGTGTTTGTTGGATAAAAAGTGAAAGCCACCATTGCGTTCGAACTAGCTAGCGTTACAATAACACGTGCGTTTATCCGTTACAACCTCCGACCTTTTAGCTATAATCATATAAAATATTATTCCGTTAGCTGAAAGTGGCTGACTTTTGACTAAATGATTAAATATTATTTTTTCTTACATCTCTCAATCCCAAGTAATTTTGCTAAAGGAGAAGCAAAAAACCCAGCCTTCTGTTAAGATTATTATGAAAACCTTGCCATTCTAGCAAAAAGTGAGCTGAGCGATTTCACAAGAGATCTTTAACATAAACTCTGCTAGAAAAATGCTAAAGAATATTTTACGTAGGCAAACCAAAATCTTAAACATAAGGAGCTGCCAAGTCAGATGATGATTCCTGGATTTTCCTGGAAACTACTATTTATCACCTTAAATATGATTTTTCCTTTTAAATATGCACGAAACTCATATTCTGAATAAAGTAGAAAGTTAGCTTTCGTATGAAATAGGAATTGTTTTCATTCGAACTGGTTGAAAAAGTGACCGTTTCAATAATGTTAGTGCTTGGGTCAAAATACGTTGGTATGCAAAATGTCATCATACTATCTCAAAAATGGTGGCCTTTAGGTTGAACACAAGAATATAGAACAGACAGGCCAAGTAGGACAAGCTTAAATCATAAAAGGTACGTCTATCTCAAATTTTTTCGGGTGTGTTGTGCACCACGCCAGCATAAGTGATGTACGATATAAACATTTTCTCCTGCCTTTGCCGTTTAATCGCAAATGCTTCTCCATATGAATTGTCATTAACAAGTGAATTTTTGGTAACCAATCATTAAACTGAAACCGGTTTTTGTAAATTAAAACATAAGCCATGATATGAATACAATTTTGCGTTTATACCTTTTTTATCAACAACAAATATATCATTAATACCGGTTACTCGAAACGGTAAAGATGACAGAATTAATGTCCAGAGATGAGCACAAAAACAGATAATAAAAAAATTATAAAGCAAGTTTTAACGTAGAAAGTCTACGATCAAGCTTTTAAGCTTTGTATTATCGAAACAATTTTTTTTTTTTTTTTTTTTTTTTAGCTATGCTTACGTTTTCGAACATATCGTGAGCGCTGTATAATGGAAAGTATCAAATAAATTTATTTTAAAAATAGCATTTGATAAAGTACAAAAACAGCGCAACAAAAAAAAAAAATTAAATCAAAGTAAAAATAAAAAATTAGCAAAAAAAATTCTAACTTAAAATCTTACATTACAAAGCAATAAAATAAAAGCAATAACAACAACCATAAAATAAACTAAAAAGAGAGGAATTAAAAACCGTTTAAAACGATTAAACTCAAATGAAAGCTAAATTCACAATACCCTACCATATGATTAGGGAGAGCTAATTAAATAATATTCGATTTGAAAAATTGATTTCAATAAAATAAAACAAATGTTGATAAACAGAATGAAATATTAATTTGCCGATGGGTATAAAATATATGAAATAAATAATCGAGCAACAAACTTAAATCATCAATTTAAGTTTTTTTTCAATTAACACGTTATACACTATAAATAAAATATAAAGTGACCAGGCATTCCTCTTGTATAGTGTTACTGGATTTCAATTTTATCAAAATTCTGTGCATCACACACTTTCGATAATAATAAACAATAAGTAATGAGTAACATAATAACAACAAAAAATTCCCAAGGTATGCATGCATATATATATATAAATGAAATATAAAATAAAAAATTCAACTTTTAAATGTAGAAAAAATTCTATAAACAGTTTTGAGTGAGCTGTCGCAGAGAACGGAAATATATTTAAGATAAAGAGTCGCCATGTATAAAGCACTTGGAAATTGCTTAATATTATTAACTATTTATGCTCTGATCTTGAGTGAAGCCAGTAGAGTAAAACGTATTGTAGGCGGGAAAAATTCCAAACCTCCACCTCCAGATGATCCGGTGATTTTTGCGCGATTGTTCAATCGTGATGCCCGCGTAGAGGGTTTTCACAATCCCGCAACGGGTGTTTATACATTTTTGGGATTGCATTATGCAGAACCACCAACCGGATCTAATCGTTACGCTCGTCCAGTGTACAAGCGTTTGGCTGGTGATATAAATGCTACCCGGCATGGTTCACCTTGTATACAACCGGATCCATATAATCCAAATCGTATTATAGGAGATGAAGATTGTTTGCTACTGAACGTGTATACACCGCGCATGCCTGATGAAACTACCGACATGCCAGTTATAGTATGGATACATCCGGGTGGATTCCGCTACGGTTCGGCCGCTCAGTACGATGCTACACCGATGGCTCAAAAAGGCGTGGTAGTGGTTGCTCCTCAATACCGTTTAGGGTCTTTGGGCATAATGGGCGATGGCACTCGGGAATTTGATGGCAATTTGGCCATGTTTGACATGGCTTCGGCTTTAAGATGGGTTAACGATTATATATCCTATTTCGGTGGAGATCCTAAACAAGTGAAAGCCGTAGGTCATGGTTCGGGGGCGGCTAGCGCTATGTATTTGTCCATGTCTCGTTCGGCTCGCAGCGCTGGCGACATTAACGGCGTAATGGCGATGTCCGGTACTGCGTTGGGTCAATATGCTACCGACAAAGAGCCTGTGCAGAGTGTCCAAGAAATCGCCGAAATAAATGGTTGCCCGACCACTAATGAAATTGAAATTGTGAAATGCTTGCGAGAGGTTATTATATTATTTGCAAAGGTATTACTGTAGATTGAACCACGTAGTCTTTTTCAGAAATCTGCAAAAGATATTATTGAGAATGATTCCAAAATACAAACGGAACGTTTGGCTGGTAGGGCCATGATAAAAGGATTAACTGGTGGCTTAGGATTCGAACCTCATATTGAATATGAAAATGATCACCGCGCTTTGCCCAGTTTAATTGAAGCTCCAGCGGAGCAACAATTAAAAAGCGGAAATTTTACCCCAATACCTTTACTAACGGGTGTTACTAAACAGGAGACAGCTAACGCTTTCAATTTGGATATCATAAACCAAGTTTATGGTTCGGCGGAGAAATTCTTGAATTCAATAACCGACACTTTACAAGAGTTAACCGGTTTTCTACGCCTTGATCAAGTCACGGGCCAAATAACGAAACCGGTGCTGCCTGGTCTCACTTCGGCTTTGACTCCTTCATTACAAGATCTTACCAAAATTCCAGAAACTTTCAATTTGGATCAGATCTTAGGAAAGGTAATGCAAGTGTATTCGTCTTCGCATAATATACTAATAGTTTTGTTATATATTTTAGGTTATTGAATCTACTACCGATATTCTTTTTAACCTACCTGCAGTTCTAACTACCCAAGTTTGGTCTCAAATTGCTCCGGCTTTTATGTATAGTTTCGAATATAATGGAACTGTTTCGAAAGGTATTAATTTTTTGCGTGGTCTGCCTATTGTATCAGCATCTGCAAACAACACAAATACACCTGCAGCAGCGCATGGCGATGAATTGGGTTACATGTTCGATTGTAATGATATTTACGGTAATCCTTTACCCGAAACCCGCTTAACTAGTGCCGATGATTTACGAGTCCGAAATAATATGATCGATATGATTGTTAGATTTGCTTCAGCGTCTGGACAAAACGAGACAACTGATAGTGGCTTCACTGACAGTCTCTTTAAAAGTGTAACTGGCAAAGGTATACCGTTTCTTAAAGTGGACACAAATCTGCAAACATCAAATGATTTCCGTTTTTGCGAATTGTCCGTGCTCGGAGCTAATTTAAGTCCCTTGACCTCGATCAGTTGCGAAGGCTTGGGTAGCATATTTTCTTCCCTTACAGACACCTTAGGTAATCTGGGCAAAAATTTGGGAGGACCCAATTTTGGAAATACAAATTTGGGGGGTATTCTAAACACTGGCTCAAACACAGCCAATAAATTTGGTGGCTTCTTTAACCGCCCTTTAACAGTTGACCGAGAAAATTCAGGTATAGGGTTATTAGGTTAAGATTTTTCCCATGAATTGTATAGGTATAAGTTCCGCAGTATGTTGTTTTCAATAAATTATCACATCGCTCAATTGGACTCTTGGAGTTCTGCAAAACCCGAATCTATCAGAAAGAAATTCGTTTTATCAAGTCCAGGAATATTATTCGTACAAGTGTCGTGTGTTTTCTGATCCAGGTCATGTTAATTTAACTACTTGTAACATGTTTTGTGGTTAATAAATATTGTCGATTGTGCCCAGGCATCTGATGAAGGAATCAAAAGATCGAATCGGTTAAAAGCGAAATTTGGGAAGTAGGGAAGTAGTTTTATGAAACCGCTTACATATAATCATTGTTTCTATTTTTTAAGAATTGGAAAGTGTTTATGTCAGCTGCTAGTCTTATCATTTTTTGGAAGATTGTATGTGATCGTTTACTGTGACCTTATGCAAATGGTAGAAAACATAAATAAGTTACGGACTAGTTAAGGACTTCAACGTCAAGTTAAAATCGCAAAGCTTCATATTGGTGTTCTACCTACTCAGTTAGTAAAGTTCACTGAATTCGAAAATGAAACCGTTATTAGTCTTCACCATTTGAGGGACAAATCAGTGCTTAGTGCACTTTTAAATTTCCTAGATAAACCCTGATAAGTCAGGGTAAAAGTTTTCTACATTTTATCTTAATAAACGGCTTTAGAATTGCGTTCAGTTGGCAATGCTAACCCTGTCAAGTTATTCTGTAGTGCGAGTATCATTGTTATTATTGTTATTATTATTATTAGTATTATTATTAATTTAATCAGAGAATGAATTCAAAGACTAAACTCTTAAAGCACTAGTATCTAAAGGCTTTCGGCTTTATTAAAAACTCTACCGCCCTTGAGATTTGAACCCACGACCGCTGAGTTGCTGGCTATTATTATTATAATCTATTTGCACCAAGGAAATAAATTCGAGCCAGTATCTGAAAAAACTGCTAACGGGCGGTGAAAATTGTTTCGCACATCACAGCAATGTCAGAAAACGATCACAGATGTATTTGTACCAACGGTAGCAAAAGCCGGATTGATGCTTTTTAAGATGATGCATTGTGCATTTGATCGGACTGAAAGGTTATACGAGCGTTATGCGTATGGATGTAACTTTAGAAGACACAAGGCTCTGAGAAGCATTTTTTTCACATTTTGATCAAATATTCAATGGGTTTATCAGAAAAATGCAAAAGGTTATTTTTCCAAATGGCACCTATTTGGTGTTGATATGATTCATAAAAAATATTTATGAATTTTAGTGAAAATACTCGGGGATTTTTTTTTTTTTCTTTGCCTCTTAATTACGAGCACTTGCAAAAGAAACTCTCTTGTGACGATATATTGTTTGTTTCCGTTTGCAATTAATTTTATTTTTATATATAAATGTTTTTTACTCACACAGTTGCTGAATTTCTTTACGTAAATCCTGATTTTATTCAATTATATATAAATATCATCAAAACGATTTAACTGAAAACTCTTAATTAAGCAATTAGTAGTAAATTAATTGTTTATTTAAGTATCAAAAAAGTGTTTGCCATGAAATAAACATAAAATAAAATCAATAATTGTGTATTTATGTGGATACAAATTTATGTATATTATGAAATTTTATTAAATACAAAATAAAAGGGAAAATTTTCAATTATTTTAGTTGAGTATTTAAAAGATTTATATATTAAAATAAAACAGTAAACAAGAAAAACAAGAGAACAACAGCAGCACTTAAATAAGTTATTTACCAACAATTCATTCAAATGCTTAAAATTCTTGTCTTCATTATCCAATAATAATTTTACTGGAGACAAAAACAACAATAACAATTTTGAGAAAGAGATGATAATAAAAGAAAAGAGAAATTTAATTAAGGTAGAAATTCTATACGAAGTTTGAGACGAATACTGAATCCTTATCTCCAAAGGAATTCGAGAGAGTTGCAACTATCTTCCTATCTTGTCGGAGAATGTGATGTGGACAGAACACATTGAAATCCTTACAATACTTTGAAGATTACGGCCAGATCTTTTTACATCTATGGCTAGATCGCGCTCTTCTTAAAATATAATTTGAATGTCATGAAGACTAAGACTAAATCGAACAACGAAAGTAAGGACTGGCAATGGATTGGAAAACACAAAAGACTTTTGCTTGGCAAGATTATTGAACGTATGGCAAAATAATGGCAACGAAAATGGATACATTTTTGAAATAAATTGAAATGAAGTGTACATTTAATACGCACAACGCATATCTAACTGTAAGGAAGGAAACTGTTCAAAAAGTCATCAAACAATACACTTAATCGACATAATGGAAAATATTTTATTGATATGTGCGCCCAAGCAAGGAAAATATGTAAACAAAATAATTTCATTATAAATTTTCGAAATTAATGAAAAACAATAAGTTATATCCTCTTAACTAAACTTTTCTCCATACCTTCTGCTATCATATTCTTTTGCATTTTTTAACTTTCCTTACACCTAAAGTATCAATAAAGCGCGGACTTTATGTGGAGCTTAACTCATGACGCTGCTATTCAATTTGGTCATGTGGGCAATGAGAATTTAAATCAGGTTCAAAATTAACTATCAGTTTCATACCCGCATCGAGTCTACAAGCTTGATAAACTCTCTTCAAGAGCTTGCGATATTTATACCTATCTTATTGAGAAATATATTAAGATATTACACGCTACACCACTTGTGTAAAATGTACAAGGATATATTGAGTTTGTGCGGATATATGCAACACCCAGTAGAACTTCATAAAGATTTACCTCTTATTATACCGATCGATTCAAAATTACTTTCTGACTCGATTTAAGCTTGTCTGTACGTCTGTCCTCCTGTTTGTATTCAATATACGCGCCGTAAAATGCTGAAATATTTTGATTAAAATTTGTACATTGGGGTGGTTTGGTTCAAGGGCGCACTCTATTGAAAGCGGTTCGGATTGGGTCAGTTTGCCGATCACTTTCTACATAATCCCATATTTTGTAGGATGTAGAGTATTTTATGGTGTGCCGCGGTCCACTCCAGTGTTTTTGCTTCTTTTCCAGACCTTTGGGCTAATTGGTAGATCACATTTACAAAATTCATTTATAAAAAAAATTACTTAGACCTTCTCTACAGAGAAAATCACATAAGTACCGAAAATCGTCTGACCTTATCTTATCTATCCCTATCTCTTCACTTCAGCGACGAATCAGATTATTTTTAAAAATCGGGTAAATTAACTCAGCTGTCCACTGTTACCGAACAATCGCCTATGAAAACATAATTATATTGGCCCTGCGGAATGCTTTGGCTCCCCTACACAGATATTGTGAAGCATCTTGCGAACTTCAAACATGACCATTTAGACGTTTCTGTGTGAAATTCAAATTCATTATCTCTTCGAGCACATAAGTTAAAGTTTTTTTTTAATGTTGTGGGCATCATCGTACCCGCATCATTTCAAAAGGTTTGTAAATTGCTAACCATTTTCAAAATACGGTGTTGCTTCGGGGGTATTTGTAACAGCGGCCCAATTCTATTGCTTCTCAAAAGAGGTTCTACTCGGACTAACCCACATTAGTGAACCAAACATCTCAAAAATTTTGATCCGTCTACAAACTATATAGAGGGATAAAAAGGCAGACGAAGAAGGTGCAACTCGAATCAATTTAGAAAATAATTCTGAATCGACCAGTATGTCTATTTTAAGTCCTTCCTTAAGTGTTGCATACATTTGCACAAGCTTAGTAAACACAAGTGAAATAGAGTATTATCAGCGATATGCCACCAAAAATTCATAGTGATTTTGAACTACAATGAAAGGAGGAAAAGAATCCTAATGAATATTGTGGAATTGATAAGCATTGCTTTAAAGTTAAGTTTTACTTGCATTAAAATTGTTGAAAGTCTCATCAACGTCGTTGATAAACAAATGAAAAAATACGCAACATCAATTTGACATGACACTGCCAAGACAACCGTCAATGTTGTCAGTCAATATGTCTTTTATCCATCTATCTACGCAGCCACACACATCTGCTATTTTATTCACATAGCTATCTTACCCAAACTACCCGCATTGCCACCCACAGTTACTTATGCTTTGCCTACTTGGCACTGTTTGATAAGATTAAAATTTATATAAATATACAAAATTTTGACGTGCGTGGGCGTGTTGCCTGTGTCCTCCTTCTATATAAGTTTTCAAACGAAATTGTTTGCGTTATGGATTTTGTGGGCTTAAAATTGCTTCAGTTAAGGCTTTAACTTATATTTCGCCATCTCGTTGTTATTTTGCTTTCACAAAAATATTATTATCACTCCCTTTGCCTTTACATATTTATATATATATATATATATATACACTCAAATGTTACGCTTTGTCCGATAAGCTTTACTAATTTTATTTCAAAAAAAAAAAAAGAAGTAATTATTTAGCATTTGTGCATGCACCACGATGTGTAAGTGAGTTTACGTTATTTTTATTTAAAATTTTTTTACTTGAAATTCACAACATTGACAATTTTACATTTAACAGTACGTGTTGTATACGAAAAGCATTTTCCGTTTTATTGACTATAGCCTTAACTTTATGACCGTGTTAATACTTTAATTGTCTGATAAAAGTTAATATTATTATACTGGATTAAAAGAAGCAAACAGCAGATCTAAGAATTAACACTTACTTAAGCTTTATTTATATAAAATTTGTATTTTATATCCAGCATTGGAAACGAAGGAAGGATATTGTCATTTGGTCTTTTTTTGTAACTGTTACCAGTAATCAACAGCCGAAACAGGCAAACGGCTTTAAAATATATATCGACTTAATTGTGGTCATTGATTGAAGTCTCTCGACCTGAAGTAGTATACCGAAAACACAATTTGATTCCACGGAAAAACGAAATGAGACTGTCTAAATAATGTCAGTTTCGTGCGCAGCTAGAAAGAACTATGTACGCTTTGGAACAAATGCTGGATGCCAAGCACTTTGAGCAAGCATATAAAACTCCCAAAGCACTTCATTAGTAATTGAAACAACTGGAAAGATTAAAACTATCTTTACATCAAATTTAAGTCACCGCAATATACATTTTCACCAAATTTTGACAGCTGCCATGAGTTTGTACTAATTGTACGTATTTTTGTGGCGAAGCTTAATCTTTAACCATCGATCAAAAATTTCTGATAAAAAAGTAGGACACGGTCCGCCATTAAATTCCCTACACCACTTCGCTTAATACAATTATTCCTATAACGACTACTTCAAATAAGGCTTTATATAAAGAGTGGTCTTAATATTGATCCGATCCGAATCATTTTCAATAGCTTTCGTTTTTCGGCACAAAAAGTGCTTTTGCACGAAATTTCATCGAAATACCTCAAAAACTTGCAGTCTTTAGGGAAAAACATTATAGCCCGCCATTAAGCACCCTACACCACTTACCTTAATACAGCTATTCATAAAGCGATTTTTCAAAATAAGGTCTTGAGCGGCAAGACAGACAGACGGACGAATGGACACACGGGCAGATATGCTTACATCGATTTCGAAAGTCACTCAGAATCGAACGGTATAATAAAAGGCGGTTCTTAGGTCCTTTTGGGTGTTGGATACATCTACACAAACTTGATATACTCTTGCACAAGAAGTAATGTAGGGTATAAAAAAGTGTTTATTAAAAAAATTGGGATTTCATAAATTTTGCAAATAGCCTCGATATGTAAACAAACATAATTAAACTGAATGAGAGTCTCACGTCCATTGGAATGGCAAAGCAACCGTTTTAG